AATGTAATTTTTTAAAAACAAAATTTTTGACAAACGTGCATGTGCATTTAGGGAATAATAAGCAAATATTATTTATGGTGATTATATTTTGATCAGAATGTTTTGCATTTAGGAATCCTAATATAATTACTTAAAACCAATGATAAAAAAAATATTTTTTTTTACATAATTTACACATAAGAAATAAATTAATAAAATTTATTAAGAATTATAATTTACATATTATAGCTATGTCTTCTTAACCAAAAAATCTAACTTTTATTTATTATTGTTAGAATTTGGTGTATTTAAATTATATTAATTAGTTTAGGTATCATTTCTTCGCCTTTTATACCAAAAATAAATCATTACTGCAGAAAAAGTAATTAAAACACCACCAATGACTCCACCAATGGCTGCACCAATAATAGCACTAATTGATACACCAGAAATAGACCCATTAGCATTATTAGTATTATTAGAATTTTGACTTGGAAGTGATTTCGGATCTCGGATCGTATACCTATGAATTATTTTCGAAAAATTTTATAAAGAAAATTTAAATATATTTTTTTTTTTTAAAAAAAAAATATATAAACATATAAAATATCAAATAATAAAATACCCTATAGAATCAAAAAATAATCTTAATTGAGGGCCGATTGCACCCCATGAATAATTTCCACCCTTTAATATATGTTGTTGAAGAGTTGTCCCATTTTCGGCCATAAATCTCATTAAGAAATCACTAGTATTAGTATATTTGACATAACTAAAATGGCTAATACTCGAACCATGCATGAAAGGATTTATCCATGTCTCAAGAATGATGGCATTATCAACATTTGTATTACCATTAGTTAAAAGTCCTAAAGTTTTTGGCTTAATAGCATAATTCTTTAAATTCATAGCCAAACTGTATTGAGATGAATTTACGAATGTCGTTGCAAAATCATTTGGAGTATTAAACTGAGTATTACCAAAAATGTCCATTTGCTTGGTAATATCAGAAATTTTCTGATTAGTGATAAGTACAGACATGAATTTATCTAATACAGTTTCAACTAAATGATAATTAGTCAAAGTAGTATTTATGATATATGGAGTTAATCCTGGTAAAGGGGTCCGACTTCCAGCATATGGTCGTCCTGAATCGTCCAAGAGTAATAGATATTCATTAAGGCTGGAAGTAAATCCTAACCCATGTACAAATTCATGCAATATTACCATCTCTATATCTATCTGATTTGATTTTATATCTATACCATCAGATTTAAACCAATAAGAAATATTTCGACTATTGAAAACAGCTACAATATCATAGATACTATATTCTGGATGATTTTGATTATTTTGTTGTTTTACAAGAGCTTGGGGATAAAACCTAGAAGTACCCCCATCATTAATTAAAATGCTTCTCGCTGGAGCTGCCGCACCTAAGAAAGTAGGAAATATTGATATACATTTATATTTGATAAATAAAATAATTTTAATAAAAAAAAAAAAATTATTAATAAAGTACTTACCGATTACTTGACCGTTACTTACTGAACATACACCATATGCCGCACAAATATCAATGAAAGTAGCATTAACTTGCACAGTTTGTGTGAATATTATTGCTTCAGTAAGAATTTGACCAGCAGAGATAAAAGCATTTTTTACTTTTTGACAAAGTACTTGATCAGTAACACCACATGTAAAATTCACTACAAACATGTCTGTATTATCACGTTTTGAATTTGAATTTGAATTTTCTGTTACCATATAACATGGAGAGTTTACTACATATTGAGGTTTGAAAGGATTTGGTCGATCATAACATAGCGGGGTTCCATCTGCACGATTAAATGTAAAATTACATATTAAAAATATAAAAAATGTTAATAGTGATGTTAACCACATTATCGGGGTTTTCATATTATAAATAATAATTATTTTTTTCTTTTAATAATACAAAATATTAATGTAGAGTTCATAAGACTGTATCTAACATTTTAGTTTTATGGAAGAAGGTTGATTTGAAATGTACGTACGTAAGTACGTACTTAGGTAAATATTTTGTATATAACCTAATTCATTGTGTAAGCATGATGATCATGAACCATTTTACATGTTATTCAAAGAATTCTATTTACAATTCTTTCTAAATAGATCCATAGTTGTTGAATAATGAATTTTTGTTGGCATAATTATCATTTCCTTTTCTGGAAATTGCGGATGTCAATCTCTTGCACGAATGTCTTTATAAAGCATATCAGATATAAATAACTTCCACGGAACATTACTTAATAGCTCCGAAAAATTTGATCCCAAAAACACAGCATGTGATTCTATAAGCCTATGATCTGTGAAGCGGTGTTTGTCTTTATATTTTAATTCAATTAAAATTTATTATAAAAATGTTGGTCATTACCATGTGAATATAGAGATTGGAATCGATGAATAATTATTCGATCATCATTCATCGAGTTTTTAATTCAGTTTATCATTGAGCATCAATCAAAGTTAAATTAACTACGTACGTACGTACTGTACGTATATAGTTGTTCTGTTTTTTTAAATGTTAATAAACGACATGTAATTTATAATTTAATATAAATTAGGTTGCAGTGTGTTAAATTTAGGGCTGTTAATCAATCCGTTCCAGACCGATGGTACTTCAGTCCATCCAAGAATCGGATCAGTTCGGTCTTAATATTAGATATTGTTGATTATACAATATATACTAATAGGCCCTTCCTCAATGGGTTTACTGGATAACGAAAAAAATTGATCGTACTTGCCAATTATGATAAGTCAAAAAAACCTGAAGCTAAAGATATAAAATTTTTTTCACATGGTTACTTTGGCTGAAATTTAAATCCGAATTTCCGCACAATGAAATTATTACAACAATCGCTTTAATTAATCACAATGATTGAGCAACAACTAGATTATTAGCAAATTACATTGAGGGAGTTGCTTGAGAACACTCTTAAATCGGTCCATCCGAACTAATTCTAAACACTCCTATTTGGTCCCGGACTACTGTTTGATCAGATCTTCTAAAAGATCACCAGTTCTTGGACCAGGATGTACCGGACGGACCCTAATTAAATTTCGTTAATAAAATAGATTAGGTTAGTTTAATAATTTATGAAACTAAGTTCATAAATTAATACAAAGTTAAAAATAAAATAAAAAATTTCACTAGAATGGACTTTTTTAACATTGAAAGCTGCCATCATTCAAAATCGAGAGGGGTATTATATAAATCAGCGTCATTAATTGTTAATTTTTAAATATGTACAATTGCTTATTGTACCAAGGAGAAAAATATAAGAGGTAAAATGTGATTCAAAGTACAAAATAAATCTTAACAAAACTTTAACTAAAATAGGTCCATTTTTTCAATTTTAGAAATAGAGTTTATTCTCATTATTTTCATTGGAACGACATAAATGGTTATATTACGACTAATTTATTTTATTACACTACTCTTAGTTCGTAAGTCAATATTTTCTTTTCATGTTCCACTTAAAAAAATTTTGATAGAAGGACTACTTATTATTATTATAAGCCAATAGGATATTACTCTATTTATTTATTAGAAATTTCACTTTATTATTGTCTATAATAATCTTATCTAAAAAAAGGATAACAGAATCATATTCTAAATACCTAAAAACCTGCTAATAGAATTATCAAACGATTTTAATATTGTACATATTTTTCAGAGCCGCCACAGCCAAATTTAACATTGCCAGCAAACAGAAACCAAACACCATCACAAGTATCGATTTCTGTTGCCGGTTCTGTAACTACATCATCATTTGTCTATAGCAATTTCACCTCAACCAATTACACAACCTTTTAACTGCAAATCAACCTCTACTAACAAATAAATCTCCTATCAACACAGCTGTCACTACTCCCTCTGTTTTATCCCGTGTTCTTAAAATTGGAACATATATTGGTATTGCTATAGGTAGTTATGTAACTAGAGTCTTATCTTTTATTGGGTAGCTGGAGTTTTATCTTTTATTGGATATAGTTGATGTAAAAAGCATCATATGGATCCAAAATTCATTCCAACATCTGGTAGTAAATACAATTAATATTAAAAGTTCTTTAATGTCACGTAATTTCGGGTCAACCCCTGTACTTAGTATGAGGATGGGTGAAATTATGATGTTAGTGCGGGCCAGCATTATAGAGAATTATGTGGACAACAATTAACGATTTGATCGAAGTTTCATAATATAGTATAAGGTAGTAATATTGAAGGTTAAATATACAATGATGCATAAATGATATAACAATAAAATGTACTTTACAAAAAATACTCAAAATTAGAATTGCTAAAAATTAGCTTTTTAAAAGTGCTGATAAAGTACTAATTTTTG